TGATGTAACATTACAAAAATGTAATGAAAAGAGCGCGATCAAGGATCATGTCGAGATTCCAGTTAATGAAGGAGCTCGAGCTGCGGAACATCAAAGCAATGGTTGGCTCATCACGTCGGTTCTTGGCAACAGAACTCGCTGCTCTCAAATGTAGCTTTGGTAAATTGAAACGGTCCTCATGGCACATCTAAATTAACGTGTTTTTAAGTCCTCAGAGGAATGAAATACTCAGCGGAAGTGAAAGTGATAAATGGCTCATTTAAAATTCCCTCACATTTTTAAATTGCTGAATTAAATGCATGAGAAACCACCTGGATTAGTTCTTTTATTTTATGCGCAAGATAAGCTAAGTATTACCACAGACAATCAGGTAGAATCAATTCACAAAAAATTTTATGTGACATGGCTCAATTCCTCGACGGTCAAAACATTCTCCAATTATCATCTAATCATTCTAGATGTATTGCAGACCTTAAATGACTCCAAGCCATAAAATGTATTCGCGCAAGTTTATAAATATGACCAAACATCAGACCCGGCGAGTGATATAACTGATGATGGTAATCGATCAAAATTACTCAAATAGGAACCAGCTAGCTGCCTTTCAGCCTCATATATGCATGCATGACCTAAAATTTAATAGCAGTAGTTTCCTTTCATTTTTATGTGACAATTGGCAGCATTTAAACTTATTCCAGCCATATTGACTGCTGTGAAATATCATATCTATGATTGATTTCCTTTAAATATATGGTACCCAAAATATAGGTGATTAAATTTATGTGCTGGTGGTTAAAATTTTCCAAATTTCTACCACAAAAAAATAATTTTAAGTATCAAAAGCAGGCATCAATATAATCTCTCACTGTCTAGCAAACTAGAACACCACTTGTGCGCATCAAACATGCAATTATTTAACATCACGATGTTGTTGTAATAAATGCGTTGCTATCACAGCCACAACATCACAACACGCGTTGCAATGTTGTGGTTATATATGAGAAGCTCGGGCGGCGTAGTAGGATTGGGCTTGCCGTGCTGTCGATAAGGCATGCGTCCTGAGAAACGACCAGCTGAGGCCTTAAATTTCATCAATGGTATTGGAAATGCCAGCACCGCTGAGAACAAACGCTTCTCTTCGTATCGCAACCGTCATCGGGCCGATCTCCATCCGGCGTGAGTGAGCGAGCCTAAAAAACACGATTTTATTCCAGGATTTGGGAGCGATTTGAATATTTCACTTTGAATTTCAAAGAGACGTTGGCTTTTTTGTGTTAATCTGGTGTTGCTGGGAGGTTTGTGTGATGTGAAAGATTTATCCGTCAGGTTACCTGTTAAACCCATGAGTAAGGTTAAACCAGATACTTAACCGAATGTAGCATGATAACCAGAGTAAAAATTCAGCCTTGCGTTATTCTGTAAAATGTTTTTGTGTAGGAGAAGTGTAATTTTGTCCTTAAGTTGCACATTACTCACGAAAATTAGCATATTGTGTGTTGCTCTTTGTTCTCGTTACAATGAGATTCTCAGAGTAGCCTAATAATTAAATTTGAAATTGTTTTAGATTCAAAATCGTTATCAAAAGGTGATCCCCTAGATCCAACCTCAGATATAATAAAAGATGATGCACCGCTGATTATCAAACAATTATTTTCCTAATGAACATGCTGAGCTCTAGCAAATAAAAAAAATTCAATAATGCAATACCCCGTTCGCTCCTCTGATTTTACTGGCGATAGACGAAAAATTTCAGATCACTTGTAAAATGGGCATAACTTCCATCGTAAAACACACTAGCGAAGGTTACCGAGATTAAGGCTGCAGTTAACATTAGCAATGCGGTTCCACGTACCATGAACTAAGACATTGCGGTTACATGCAGTTACTATGAGTTTAAACACGGTCGTTTCAGGTACCGTAAATTAAAACACTTACCAAGCAAATTCAGAAATAACTTTGTGGCTCCTAATAAATAAAACTTTAACAAAATGTGAAATAAACTATACCAAAACCCGCCAAAACAATCCGAGTTAAAATGTTATGCAGGCAAGTCTGAGATTTTCATGAGGTTTCCGGGAAACCTAAGGCCGACGCTAGAAAGCGATTCTTTGAGATCGCAGCCTTTTGGTATTGAGGTCGACAGCCCGAGGCGCTGAGATCAAATTGCACTCGAGTTGCAATCTGAAATGTTAGGTCAAAAATCTCGGTTTTATACTTCAATTTTAAGTAGTATGCCTTTACTCTTAATTTAGAGAAAAGGATTTTCGTCTGATTTTTTTTCAGTGAGCAACTTTGTTTTCTTTGTAGCTTGTGTACATTTGAGTTCTTGGAAATGCTTTAAAGGAATTATTATATAGATGTGAATCCTCTTTTATAATGAAAATCATTAGGCAAGTTACATTTATTTCTTCAGAGGGCTTGATAGAAGATTACAGTAGACTTTCAATAGCGTATTATATTTTGCAATTTGTGCATGAAAGTTTCCCATGAGTTTAGCCAAATTATATCTATATAATCAAATATTGGGGCTTATGCACTTTGTGGATGAATCTGTTGTGGGCAAATCTCTTTCGCAAAGACATACCTCTCATTTTCGATTCCTGTATGCAGTGTCTGGAACAAAATGCTTCTCAACGTAGACTATATAGCGAGTTTTCTTCGGTGTTTCTGAAAAGTTCATTTGCCGCTACACTACAGGCAACGTCGGCCGGAAACTTACATGCCCAGAGACTGGCTCGCTTTCTCTCTGCTCGTTCCTATAGGTTATAGAAATGTAGTCGAATTCCCGCCATTTTTCTATTGCCTACAACGTCTCGGTAGCAAATTCTTTCGTAATTATGGATATACTAAGCCATCTGGTTTGTCCAAGATCATATGTGTGTTATGGGCATATATTTGTGACCAGATGTGTAATGTGAATTTGCCACGAAATTTTCTATATACTAAGTGAATAACAACGGCTCTTTGAGGCTATGTTCGAATTGAAAACTATAAGCTCGATTCGCGTGTTATATAATACATCATATATGTATATCTAACTGTTTTAAATGAAAATCATTTGATTTTACTAAATTTCCGTGTGTTATCAAAGTTTAAATTTAGCTAAAATCTTGTAGAAATCTTGAAAATCGAATGTAATATAAATGAATGATGGGAATGGAAGATTTGATGTACTAATATTTTTATTTCCCTTATAAAACTTTCATCGAAAACATTCATTAATTCACGGATAACTGCTGATCAACATATGACGATCATCGATGCTATATAAACAATTTATTATTCATCTGCCGCATGAAGAGGGCTGCTAAGAAGGCCGTTGAGTTATAGAATCAGACGCGGCAAAAATGGCTGCATGTGACTGCCATGACCTGGTGATGCAGTTCAGTATTTAGCAGCAGGCCTCTAGCCCTTGATTGCAATCTGGCACGCGACCCTGCAGTGCCGATAGCCTGCCTACAAAATTTAAAGGTGGATTTGGGCTCAGCGAAACTTTTCAGCCCAACGGTTTCAGTTGAATCTAAGCAGGGATCAAACTACCGAAAAACTACACTTGCACAACTACTCATTGTGGTTGCCGTTATGTGGTTGCCGTTGCACTACTCCGTGGTAAAGATTCTACCTACAACTGTATACGGGCCAAAATACTGATCATTGGCGCTAATTGTCACTTTTCATGCCTGTTGTTCAAACCATGGAAAATATTGCCAGTGGTTAAAAATTCAGAAATAAATTATTTGAAACGTAAACGAATAACGTAGTTCTGATTTTTCTGATCAATGATTTTAATGCTTATGTTTCTTAACGCTTTTGTGTGACTCTCTAACATAATTAACAGACTAAATCAATATAGTGAAGGACCTCGAATATTTTAACTACTATGACTCCAGTAAAAAAATTTAGTTTTCTAGCGGATCATCAAATTGCACAATAAAATGTTTTCGAGACCTACAACCACTGGAAAATACGGTTGGCGCAGAGAACAGGCGTACAATCTTACGATAATATATATTGTCTCTAGACCTTATTTTCTTCTAGACCTTTATTTTCTAAACCTTCTAGAAAGGGCCATTTATTTTTATTCTAGACTTGATTTAATTTGTCAGGCAATGGACTAGTTGTAAGTTACATGCATTGATTAGTGTCAGTAAATGAAATAATATTTGTAGAAGGGCTGAAGATTAAATAAATAGAGCAAGACGTACAGCTCCAAATGAAATAGTCTCACATTCTATTCCATACTCACCTTCAGGAGCATAAAAACTGGGATTTGCTTTGCTGCAGATACTGAGTCTCAGCTAATCTGAACTCCCAGCTCAATTTATTCCATTATTCTCGAGGCTATTTTTCGTTTGAATTTCCAGTCCGCTGAAAGTCATGCGAATTCATCTCATCGATTCTCTATAAATGTGCCAAACTGCGAAGCCGCAGCATTGGATTCAATCGCATTCCGATGAGGGCTTCAGAGAGCATGCAGCCTCGCGCAGGAGTTTAGACACTTCTATAGAATTCACTTTAAACAAGGCTTTTTATTTAACATTGGAGAGTGACTTAAAACGTCTCGTATTCTGCATTCGTTAGATTTCGTTCTACGTTTCGGGCGAACAAGATTTCATATAATAACGTGTTCACGCTAAGGACATTATTGTTTTTAGCGCATTTTCTCATTTATGGAAAAAAGGCGCCATTGTGCTCGTCATTTCCGTCCGTCTGTCTGTCCGTCCGTGACTTCACGTTTGCGTCGACGAGAAAATGCGCTCTCTGTCACTCACTGCAGTGAGTACTGAGTTATATTTTTTTCATTGATCAAACAGAATACAATTAAACAGTTTAACTTGCTGAACTATCAATCCATTCATGCCGTTCCTAAAACACTCATCAGCCCTTGCATCGTTCAAAATTTGTGGGAGGGGAGGCGGTATTTGCCTGTGATCTGCGCAGTATCTGCGCTCCCTCTTGAAGTAATTTTGTATCCTCAGAGCCGTTGTTTGTCTGTGCAGGGGCAGTTGATCTTCATTTCGAGAGCCCAGACAGCGGGTTTTTCTTGCGACCCGAGAGCAGCAGCAGTAACAGGGCTGGCAACAGAGCGGGCTACGGTGAGATACTCGAGGGCCTATCAGGCACAGGCGGAGTTCTAGACGTCGAAAGATTTACGGTTCTTGATGCATCTCGGCCTGCCCTCATCCGAGCCACATACGGACCTTTCAGCACCAAACAAACTGTACCAGCTCGGTACGTGTTACCTCAATTTCCAGACGAGGAGAATATTACATTAACTCCTGGCGCTTTCACAAGCCCGCAATTGGAAATTTCTGCTCATCTTGTCGTGAGCAAGGTTACGAGAGCACGGCCGTCGGTCCGAGTGCTGCTTCACGGCGCTGGTGCTCGAGGACATCATTCGCCGCACGTGTGCGTGACGGTCGTCGTAAGGAAATCGGATCAGAGGATCTCCGCTTCTTGTACTCCTGTAGGTGCAGGAGAAACTGGCGGTGACGCTACATGTCTCGTCACCCTCAGGGTCCCGATGGCGTGGTGGCCGCCGCACACTCGCTCCACCATTAAAATCCCGCGCACTACAGTCGACGTGAGTTACCTCGTTGGCACCGCCGAAGGGCCCGAGCAATGCGCTACTTTTGCCAACGACAACGACGAAACTTCAGTTCTCGGGATCGGGCCCAGAGTGACTGTACAGCCGGAGACGCCCGTGGGAGAAGTGCTACTCGGTCTTGAAGAGTCAGGTTACGAAGAAGTATCCAAAGATCCACTCGTGCATGTTCTCGTGCCACGGGCTCCTTTGCATCCTGGTAACTCGTTCTACGCTCCTGTCTACCTTCACCCTCCGGGCAACCTGCCGGCACTCACTCTTGTCATGAAGTGAGTACCCATAATGAAAATAAATAAATTTGCAGTATCCGTCACACATTATATCTGTAAGTTTCTACACCAGCTATAATTTCAGTTGATTCGCTATCTATATATCTAGAACTAGGATATATTTAGGTTTATTTCGCAGTTGTGTGATCACACTCGGCTAGATACGGTCATGGTACTATAACTTATCAATTAGTTTGTCTTAAAGATTTACAAACATTCCTATACTGGTGCATAACTTCAAGTCTTCCATCATTTTGCGACGCTGACGAAAATTAAATGCGTGTTTGCAGATGCCGCGTGCGAGGTGGGCTGCGCCTGGGCGGCGTGGAAGCATCCAGCGGCGCCTGGAACGTGACGGTGGAGATGCAGGGCGGCAAGAAGAACAAGGCCACCGTCACCGCCATGCTGGCTAACCCCTTGCCTGACAATGAGACGTTGCATTCCCTCGGGTCAGTCCTGGAATATTGGTAATTTGTGAATTTGTTTTGGTAAAATTATTCATTAGATCGATTTGTCCTTGATTTGATTTACGTGTAATAAAAGATTCGTTTAGAAGATTAATGGCAGAATGTGAGATGAGATTATAATTTAATATAATTTTAAACTTGCTTGCTGGTTCTAGTTGGATGACAGTTTAATGGATTTTTATGAAATGTTTCTTTCCCAGGCTGCACGAGGTGGCAGCGTGGGTGATGGAGGTGCCGAAGGACGCGCCGGCGGGTGAGGCGCGCATCACGTGGGCGGTGAAGTACGTCATGGACGCGCACGGTCAGGAGACCTTCCCTGAGGGCAACACGCGGCGCGTCGCCGCCAAGCTGGTTATCCTCAAGGACGATATCCAGGCTGTCCTGCCCATCGCAAAAGTTGGTATCAAATCCTATTGTATTTGCTAGCAGTTAGTTATTTCATTATGTCACTAAATAATAGAAGAAATTTCACAAGGAGCACTTGGTTAAAGAGTGTAAAAGTTCCTGAGTTTTAGCGGTATAATGAATGTAGAGGACATTTGTCAAGACCTCCAAAATTAGACGAGTATGTTCTGTCCTTAAAATTACATCGTTAGTCGTAGTACATGACATTTAATTCCTCGGTAAACTAATTAACCTGGCGATCGCAGAGCTGGTCGATCGTGAACACGGCGGTGCTGACGGGACGTCAGGTGTCGCGGGCGATGAAGGTGCTGGTCGTGTCGCAGGCGGGCAAGGTCGCGGACGTGACGCTGCAGAGCTCCTGCAGCTGCACTGATGAGGCCGCTCTCAAGGTAGCTATTGAATATAGTTTCTTCGATATTTTATATTCCCTCTTGCTTCTTTGCTCTTATGCTATTCTTTGATCTTAAATTACTGAAAAATTTTGGTGTTGGATCACTAGCAGTAGTTTAGGAGGCCGACTGTAGACTTGCGAATTATTTGCATCAGTGATATTGAATTGAAATCTCATGAATTCCTGTCAGAGTTCACTAATATCTACTTATTTCTATACTGCAGTCACTGTCTTAGAGTTTCCACTTCTTTCTCCTGCAGGTGTCGGCGTCGTGCACGTCCGTGTACCTCGACGGGTCGGAGGTGCTGGGGTCCCACAACGCGACCGTCGTGGCCCGGTACGGTCAGCGCACGGGCTCGGCTGCCTTCACCGTCTGGATGCCCGAGCTGCCCCTCCTCCTGCACGTCGACAACGCCAAGCTCTCCCAGATCCGGGGCTGGAAAGCCCCGCTCACGTATCCTCCTGGGCATCCTTTTGTCACGAAGCCCATTGAAGGCAACGAAGTGACCATGCCTGAAGACGTTAATTGTCGTATACGGTACCAGCAGACGCAAATACAGGCACGTTCCTCGTGTTTACAGTTAATGTCGAGGCGTAATATTAGTAATAGTTTTCATCGTCCATTGCTTTCAGTTTTCAACTGATTTTTCACAATCCGTGCTTCAGTTCATTTGAGTAAAAATCCGTTTTGGAAGGAAACATTTCTTCGAATTTCCCATCGTAAACTGTTGTTTCTTGAGTGAAAATTTGGTTTCGTATCTCTAAAATCGTCTAAATGTTACTCTCAAAATTTCCCTTCGGACACAATTTACAGTTTATGTTAATAAGCGGCGTATCTACTAAATTAAATGAAATATCCCTTCCAAGTTGATGCGTTCATTAAAGGTTGATGTGTTCAGGTGTACGGCCGGTTCATCGCAGTGGACAACAACAGCGGGCGGGAGTCTTACCTGCTGTCCCGGCAGGCGCAGGTACGCGTCACGGAGCTGGTGAGCCACTCCCTGCGCGTGGCGGACACGGGCGTCGTGCAGCTCACCGACACGGCACTCACCGGCATCGCCCCCGGCAGAACTGAAGTCCAGGTGATGCTTATGCTGGAAATCAGTTAGCAAAGGATTTTATTTGCACGAAAAAAGGTATTTGGATACCCTTCTCAAATTCATTCATGAGGTTCGAGCGCTCTCAGAGATATAATTTGTTCCCTTATTCAGAATCTTATTGATATGTGTATTATAAATCTAGATATATAATGCAGCATTTTTTTAATTTCATCTTGTCCATTGACTCTCGAGTTAAGTTCAAATAATTAAAAGAGTTTCCTCGCTTGTTAGGTTCTCTCGCCTATCACGGGGCGCGTAATCGGTAGCCGCGAGATCAGGGTTGGCTCTGACAAGGTGTGGGTTACTCGCCTACACGCAGCCGTGATCTCCGGCCTCACTCTGGCCCTGCAGCCTGATGCCCACCTCCAGGACGGCTTTACGGCCATAACAGCCGTCACGCCCGTACTCACCGCCAAGTACCAGGTACATCTGCAGCTACTCACGACGTGGTACTTAAACTTTCATATTATAGGACTCGTGTACGGCTTGAAATACAGAAAAGCGCCGTCATAAATGCGACGTAAAGTGGGAACTTGTATGTGGCAGGAGGGGCTGGTGGACGTGTGGGTGGAGTTGAGCGAAGGATCCCTCCTGCCGCTCAGGGAGCTGCCCCCCGAACACTACGGCCTCAGAGTGCGCTCCTTGGACCCTAAAGTGAGTAAAACATAGATTTAAGCCTCATTCAAATAAATATGTACAGTATTTACAGAGTTCATTAGTACTGATAGTACCCAAGAGAGAGTAGAACGCAGAGCTAAGCCTCATACGTGAAAACATATACGTATGTACAGGCGCAGTCCTTGGACCTTTAAGTGAGGATCGCAACTAATCAACACTTGACTTAGTGGAACGAATAAAACACATCCCCAAAAGAAAATGTTCATGAGGTAACTTTTCTCATTTCATAGTGGAGCAAACATGGATCATTTTTTGGTTATCGTAAGACTAATTGAGTTTCTTTCCTCGCGTCATTGAATGTATTAAGTTTTCAGCTCCGGTATCAGCTCTTCCAAAACCTGATCTAGGAGAACTCATACATTTTTTATACAATACCGAGAAAATATTGACTAAAATTTGTTTGCACCACTTCCTTGAGGTGGTCGAAGTGGCGCCCTCGCCCCGCACTTCGCAGCCACGAGTGATCGCCATCGGCGCGGGACACGGCGATCTCATACAGGCACGTACGATCGTTTCTTCGTTATACAGATCCTTCAACATAGCGCAAATACAGTGGTATTGTTATAACTCATTATGACTATAATACGTTATCTTATATGGAGAAAGGGACTTGTGGCAAATAAAAGAAACCTATATTTATGTTTTATCAGAGAATTCGAAGAGTACTGTATTGGAGTAGCATAACAAATTTATGTTATTTACTTTTTAATACGCAGGTCAACTTAGAAGTTGCCGAGGAATGTGAAAAAAGGCGAACTGTGTTGGCATCCACCATGGTGTACGTCAGCGTTGAGCTCAGTCCGTCCGCATCTCCGGATCCGTCAAACAATACAGAAGATATTGCGCCTTCCAAGGAGCCGGGCGGAAAAGTCTACCACAAACCCGCTTTATCGAAGCCTAGCAAGAACATTCATTATCCTATTGCGACTAATACTGAACCAGCCGAGAAGGTAAGGCTAATAATAATGAGGACGATATTCTGGCATAATGATTTAAATTTAGAAGACACCTATGAATATTTCCGTGAATATTTTGTTTTAATATTTCATTATTACAGAAGATTTATACTTTCTCCTTAGCTTACTGGAACGCATTTAACTATCTTAATTTCATTTTAATTCACCACGCTCAAATCCAGAAACCCTTATCGGAGGAGCTGCCTCATGCTGATGCAGCAGCTTCGTCGTACGACCACTACATGGCAGGCGGCACCCACAACACGGCGAGGGAGGCAGCTCACCATCGCTATAGCAAAGGTCATCCAGCGCCGCTGGAAGTGGGCATGTACGTTCTGTTGTCCTTCTTCGGCATCGCCGTCGTGGTGTTCGCAGCCTCGTGCATAGTGTACAGCTGGAGGGGTAACGTTACCCGACGACCTCCTCCTCCGAGCCCCATGAGCACCACCGACGAAGAAGAACTCACTGACTCCATCACCAATGCTCATGATTGGGTGTGGTTGGGACGTGCAACACTGGAACGAGCATCTGGCATGGGTCATCCGACACGAGGTGGACCTGAATTTGTGAATCTTAGTGACCTGAATGGCAACAACCAGCAAAACCAGCAGCAACCAGCAAGTGATTCGGCATGGCAAAATGCAAGATTTACCACCAACCCCCTCGGCATGAATGACGATTTGAACTCTAGTGGTTCATGCTCTCTTTCCACTGAGACTGATCCTCTAATATCTGAATGTCCTCCCATAGGCGCGACATTCACCCGAGACAGTAAAGGCCGACGGCGAGTAACTTTCAATAATCTGAGTGCCAGTAGCAGAAACTCGGTTTTGAACAGGCCTCCCATTCCTCCACATCGAAACATTGGTGTCAACGCTGCCACCAATGCCAATTTGCCAGCTGAAATGCCTCCTCCGGTTCCTCCACATGGAGTCAATATAATTGCTAATCCAATCTCGAACCACAAGCCAACGAGTAAGAAGAACAAGCAAAATGCATTCTTTGATCAGCCAAAATTTGTGGAAGTGAATGCTGACGACTTCGTTCGACTTCGAGGCGTGACTCGTGGTCGAGCTGGACAGATTCGACGCGCTACCATTCTCGAAAATCCTCTTCTCTCTGCAGGCGCTGTTGCTCCAGATCAAGAGAACGAACCGTTGCCCTCACAAATGATGGATTACGAACAGCTGCTTTCATATTTCTCTGCACTAAAAGAATCTAATGCCTGAAGAAAACCCTCTCACAGTACTGATGACGACCTAGATGTCAAAAAGCCATAGAAATTATCCCGAAGTGTCCATTACTGTATAACAAGACTAATTTTAAGTTATTTCGTTGTAGTTGAACAAGATGCACAATTGTTTAGGGAATGAAGGCGAGCAATTTTGTCGGTCGGGAGAGGGAATCCTAATACGTTATCTTTTGTAGCTTTAGAGAATGTCTCCAGTTTAATTATGATAAGGTGCTGTCGCTATATTGTATAAAAGTTGGCTGGTTTGCCGCTGTAGTATCTGAAAATAATACGCTGGCTACCATTAGCTTCTTAAATGATTTTGTATTTAAAAAATCATATTTTTTTATGAACTTCGTTACATTCCACTATAGTGTTGCTATTTGGTAGAACTGTTGTTTCCGCAGTGCCACTCTAGTTGACTTCTATCATTGAGATTTTGAATTTATTTGCTGACAATGTAGATGTTTGAAAATGACCCAGTGATGGAATTGCTTGGCCTCTTCCGAACATGAAAATTTGTTCCCGCCGTGTGTGAAAATGAAACAAGCTTTTGCTGTCGAGCTTCCGTTTAAACACTTTTGATGTATGATAAATAATGACTTCTCGTATATGGCTGAAAAATTATTATGGCTGAAAAATTATTGCAATATATAATTTATTTGTGACGTTAAAATATGAGTAAATTTTTTTAAATTTACCCATTCTTCACATGGGCAAAACACTCAGGTGAACAAATTAGGAATTATCCTATTTCCCGATAATACAATAGTTTTATTTAGGAAATTTGCTTGAGAATTTATTCATTATCTCTTAATAGAGCTCAGTTTGTCATTGATCCAATGCCATTAAATTTATTAATCGGAACTTGGATTACATATCAGAGGCCGTACTATCAAAAATAGTTCGTGACTCCATCAGCCAATCATTAACAGCGTTTCAAGCTAAACCCACCAATCACAGAATAAAAATGGGCTTAAGCGAGTTCTGATTCTGATAGTACGGACGCCGATCTTAAACATATAACAATGTTTTATAGGGCTTGGACTTCGTGCATTGAAAGTGTTCACAACAATTCACATTATGTATCTCTGTGCTGACAACAACGGCAGGAATGTTGGGAACATGGATGTTTTGACGGGATATGATTGTAAATGTACATCAATGACCTAACATTTGGTCATTGATTACCCAACATTAATGCTTTGTCATTGTTATGAAACGGTAAGAATGGCCGCGCTATCGGTAGCTTTTAGATCCAGGCTTGTTATGTAGCAGTGCATCTAATTTTTTTGCACGCCGCTTCCTTTTCGATCTCTTCGCTTCTTTGATTAGCGGTTTTCGTACAGTAGTTTCAATTCTCGTATTTCCCGTGCACCCTCCTTAGACGTGTATTTTATCTACTGAACAATAACTGGAGAAGTAGTCCCTAGGAACGCGGATGTCTGACGCCGATTCGGTAAAAGAATTTTAAATTCCCGTTCGACTTTTACCTTTAAATTCCCGTTTCCGTTTCGAAAAAAAAAAAACTTTTAAACTCTCGTATACATTTTTACTTAGTACGTTCATCCAGAGAGGGTTGAATAACCACCGCTCAAAGATATCGCTTTTAAGTTCAACTTTCGCATGCACACAGTCTGAAATAATTTAACCAAACATTTAACTGACTCGTAATAACTCATCAATTATGAGTCCACTCGCATAAAATAAAATCATATGTTTTTACTCATTTTGTCCACTTGTGAGCCATGCCAGAACTTTTTGACCAGCTGCCCCAGGAGCTTGGGTGCTTGATTTTGCTCAAGCTTAGCCCCGAGTTTCGTCCGGTTTGACATTGAAAAGCACATTGTAAATGAAAATTTTGACTTGGCTCATACATGCGCAACATGAGTGTTAGCGAGATTTTTGATTGCAAGTCGGTGGATCCATAATTTCAAGTGCTTGAGACATTTGGTATAAAAGTCACTTTTTTGTTCAAATTGGGGCGGACAAAATAAATAGATAAAGATAGCCCGTGAAGGTGTCTTTGAAAAAGGCTGCCTTGCGAATCTCTAGCGGATGCATGGCTGGCTTGCTGAATCCTACATAATTGGTGCATAAAAAAATCTTTAGTTCAAATCCTTTATTGCAATGCAATCGCGTGGAACTACTTCCTATGTTACTGTACAGTGCATGTCAGCTACCTCTCAGGTGCATATACTAGACCGTAACTAGTCTGTAAATAACGTAGATATGGCAAAGATGTTCTCTAATATGCTAAGACATTGAGTGTCGCGGTGACGTTTGTCGTTAATAATAAATATATATACGCGTTGTATGATGTCATGCTAGTTTGAATCATTGATTTGTGGTACAAAGCTTTACCGTGCGTTGCTGTGTCTACTTAGATGAATATTCAGGACATTTAGTTACTTCTAAGACAGAAGTTTGAAGTCTACTTTCACGTGCGTTGACACGTGTCTAAGACACGTGCGTTGCTATGTCTACTTAGATGAATATTCAGGACATTTAGTTACTTCACTGACAGAATTAGTTTGAAGTCTACGTTCAAATGCAAAAAGAAAATAAATAAACATCAAACCGTGTTGATATAAAATATATCAACACCCGGCAAAACTTCCTTATTTAATTTGTTTTCTCCATTATCAAGCATTTTTTCCCTATCAGTAGTCAGATTACTTGAAGACAAATTTTCTTAAACAATTTTTTGTCGATTGTTTTTTTTCCGGCTTTGTAGGACAATAGTAAAGTCTCTGCACATCTTCAAGTCTTGTCACTGGAGTCAGATATTTTTCCGCTCGGCGACTTTAAATTTCGGAATGACGAGAAAAATTTGTCAACGACAAGCTATAATTAACTAAAAATTTTAATTATTAAAAAAATATCAAAAATAATAAAAGAATTTCTTATTATTTTATTTTCTTCGACAACAGGTTATAATTAACTTTTTTCTCACAAATAACAATGCAAGCGAGCAATGATTTCACTCAATCTAATGACTGCTAGTGAATATTTCTAAGTTTTTTCGTCCCTGACTCAAATTTTTCTCCAAATTTTCAGTTACACTTAAAGTGTCTGATATTTCCGTGATACATTCCATCGACGTGCATCGAGTTACTAAAGATTTGAAAAACTAATAACTCCGTTTTTAGAAAAATATTCGCTCTTTCGAAAAATCGGTCGTAAATTGCATCCATGACATATCCACGACTTCATTATAACTTCATATGCTTTAACAAAATACATCATATATTTGATATTGTTTCTTATGCTTGTGCTAAGTTTGAGGCTGTGCTCGTTGACTTTTATATTATTCACTGTAAATTTTAGGTTTAATTTCAAACCTGAATTGAATACCTTCAACAGCAAGCAATTTAGATCGTTTGTTGCATTAATAGGATAAACTGAAAACATATTTTAATGCTTTTTAGTTGAAATACTGTGGGCATTTGGATAAATTGAATATTAAAAAGCCTAAACATTCAAACCGACAGCTTACGAGTATGTAAGAGTAAGTTAATATAGACCTTTTGTTTTATTGGAATCTTAAACTTCACTAGTCATAAGAACTGCACTCAAACCTCGTAAATTATCCACATACGTATTATATTACGGACCAAGTCGAAATTATTCAGCACTAGGAGCACAATTCTGATTTTGCTTCATTTGATAGTCTGCTTCTACCCATTTTGATAAATGGTTGCCAAAACTGTGCATGTAAAAACAGCGATAGCGGGAGTTAATCATTTTAAGAATAGATTTTTTATATGATTTTCAGAAACTGATGAAACTGGTAATTTGGAGTGGTCGTTATAATTTCTCGTATTGTGTCCAGTTTCCAACGAAAAAAGGGTGTTCATCATGATACTTTACCTAGCGTGATATTTCATGGAGCAATGTAAGTCTTTAAGGCACGCACGCGTCATATACGTAGGTAGCTCACCCATAACTATGAGCATCGATTATCCTAAAAGGAACTGACTGTACGGTTTAAAATTCTATTGTCAAGAATTTAAAAAACTTTTAGCAGTAAATTGCATGTGGCATTTAACCCAACTTGTTTGTAGATTCTCTGAAGTTTGTCATGGCAAATTATTAGAAGGATCACCGAAGCAAACGGGACCGTGGCATGTCACTCTACGTGGTCCATATAACTCACTGTATCGCTCGCTGTATAGAATACTTTAGAATAAACGCTTCTCCGATATCAAGCGGTGACCGCGAGTTTTAATCCTAATTTGAATACTTTATTTACTTTAACTACTGTTTTATTAGCATTAATTGGATTAGCTCGTCACGCTAAAAGTTTTTTCTTTACAAAGCCAAGCGGGACATATTACAGATTTAGTATGTTTTTAACGTACTAAGAAAGTTATGCAATTATTCTCACCAGACAACAGTAGCTCCCACACACAACTCCTGAAGCTCCTCTGACGATGACTTAACCATAAAGAGAATGTGCGAGACTAAATTCAGACGATGAAATCTGGTGCTTTTTGACATCTTTTGATTTTAGAAATATAGGGCTTTGAACATGTTCACAGCAGAGCAGAAATCATTCATCGCCTTATAATTAGTGAAAAAAGTTATTGCCATCTTCGAACAGAATCAATATCTGGCTATTTTGTAACTCAATATGCGTGTAATTCACTTTATCATGACTACGATATCATTGTGAAGTTTCCGTAGTTTGGTTCAGAGATGTCTATTCCTTAAAGAAAAAGTTTCATATTAGTATAGCGGGAGGCACTGAATCTTTGGAATACCCAGTCAAAAGAGCTTCTAAAACATATCTAAGTGACGTTTATAAAACATGATAAAGTGAAAGCTTTATAACATTTCTAAGTGACAGCTTTAAAACATGTTTTAGTGACGGCTTTAAAACATGTTTTAGTGACGGATTTAAAACATGTTCAAGCGACAGCTTTAAAACACGTTTAAGTGACAGCTATATACCATTTCTAAGTGGCAGCTTTAGAACATGTTTTAGTGATGGCTTTAAAACACGTTTAGGTGACATCTTTAAAACATGTTTAAGTGACGGCTTTGAAACATTTTTAAGCAACCAGTAAATAATGTTCTATTGTAAAAACTTTTCCTATAATTAATAAAGTAAATAAGCACCGGGCCTATGTAGGATAATAATTCTGCACCATGAGACCAAATAAATACAAATTTTTATTTGATAGGCACACTATAAACGAGTTTATTTTATTGAAAAAAATACCAATTTTTATTTGGTGGGCACCCTATAAAAGAGTTTATTTGAGTTGGTCTTTCTTCGGCTAGCCAATTAGTAGTTTCTGCACAGTAATAGTACAGAGCACCGCCCCTACGCCAGCCAGGAGTATGGTTGTGTAGGCGAAGAGGTAGTCGGCGTCATCACCTCCGCCCAACACCCACGGCCGCAGAACACGTCGCCAGCACACGTCTCCCCGACACTCAGGGTCGCCGTGCGTCAACCAGAATCTGCATGATATTATGCGTTTATAATATCATGAATATCATGCGTTTCGATGATATTCAAAATATTTATGTTTATCCACTATGGAAGCTATTGAAAACTTTTATCAACTAACCGTACTTGAGGAAGCAATGGTATAAAATAAATTTATCAATTTACGTAAAGGTATTTATGATTTTAAATTAAATTATGAAATCAACACTGACATATCTTTTAGCCATATATTTACACATATACACAACCAAACAGATAGTAATCATAGGACACTTCAGAAGGATATTCAAGTGAGCTTTGAATAATTTTCGAACATTGCTGTGACTGATGGCTCCAATTTAACGTACACAGCTGAGGCGGACCAAGAATAAATGAAAACTGAGGCAACAGTATTAATAGATCATCAATTATACTTACGAGGCATATTTCAATCCGTATAATTTCTAGGTAGGTGGAAATAATTCCTATACATCCATAAAGTCATGGTTGAATTAATAATAATTCAACCATGCATAAAGTAGCTCAGCTCCACCATCCTACCGTTCATATGGCGGAGGCTCGACCACCTCTCTGAAGACTGCCGTGGCGCTCAGCCACAAGAACGCGGCGACGTCACGCGTCTCCGGCAGACGCACTGCGTCGCTCTCTATCCTGCTCGTCAGATGAGGCGTGTGAGGCAGGGTGAGGCGTGTGAGGCAGGGTGAGGCGTGTGAGGCAGGGTGAGGCGTGTGAGGCAGGGTGAGGCGTGTGAGGCAGGGTGAGGCGTGTGAGGCAGGTTGAGGCATGGGAGGCCGGTTGAGGCGTGTGCTTTAGTTCATTTAAAATAATTTCCAGTTACGTATTTCTCCCACCAACGAAGTTATAATTAGCTGCATATAATGCGGAATTTCATACTATATTTCGCAAAATAATGAGTTTAATTTTTTATTTTTTGACTCGCTAGAATTTGCACAATTAGTTTATGTATATATGATTGAGGGCTTTATTGACGCAATGTCCCACATCAATTAAAGATATAATCAATTAAAGAAGATAATAATTCGATGGATATATTAATTTTTTAACTCATAATTGTGAAGGATAACGAAGTAGCCCGGAATATTTCTCCAAAAGTAGAGACGAAATGTAATACATGTCGCTCATAAAATTTGTGGAACGGTGACAGAAATTTAGTCAGTATTCGTTTTCGGTGACCTTTCCAGATCCACTCATTGTATGCAGGAAAAAATCAAGTGATATAAAAATAACATTCGAAGTATGCCTCGTAATTTAAAAAAATGGTTATCTTTTTAGCGCATTTTCTCATTTATGAGAAAAATGCACTATTGTGCTCGCCATGTCCGTCCGTCCATCCGTCCGTCCGTCCGTCCGTCTGTCCGTCCGTCCGTGACTTCAAGTTTTCGTCGACGAGAAAATGCGCTCTCTGTCACTCACTGCAGTGAGTACTGAGTTATATTTTTTTCATATCGATTCAACACATATGTTCAACACAAATTTTTACAATGTTACTCTCAATCAAGTGTTACTCAAATTTTAACTCGCTTGGCTAATTTGTCATAAGAATAGCGACTGACTGTACGCGTGCCGCGACTAGCCCGTGAGCTTGACACCGCCCGTCGTGGCGGACAGAGCAGGCGTGCCAGAAGCTGAACACGAGACGGACAGGCGCCCGGCAGACTCCCGGGAGAGGCTCAGGAGGGGTTGATGTTGCTGCCACATCAGGGCCCATCACGTCTTCCAGCCTGAGAAATATTTCATAAAATTAATGTAATCTAATCTTCATGAAGGTGAAATGCGAATGGGATAGTATTTGGTGCGGGAAAACATTTGCATCTAATTATATAATTTTTATTTTTGGGAGATTATTTTTATAATTTTCGGAAAGGAGATTGGTTTAAGACAAGTATTTGGAAGACATTGTTATCAGCAAAATTGAATCTAGTCGTGTATTAGCAATACTGCATTATTATTATCGATATTTCATGTATATTATTATATGGAATAAATGAGCATTTTAGGAAAAATATTTACCCTAAAAGGGGGATGAATTCGGCACGGGCGTTCAGGTCTCCGAAAGAAGAAACGTGCGTGGCATGAGCATTGGACAAGAGAGCTTCGTAAGCTACAGCGCTGCAAGAAAACAGACGAATAATAGAAAATACATAATTGAAATAACAATTATTTATGGACTTTTTAGAGGCATTTCATAAATACTCGTTCTACATGATAAAGAATTGCAGCTAGATAATTGGCACTCATTAAACTGAGGATTTTTAGAAAGTTTTCTTAACCTGTGGTGAATGAAAATAAGCTATGTTTAGTTATTGGAACAAATCGAAGAAACTTAAACAAGGGCCTTCATAAGCTGGGACATAATAATTAAGCAGCATCAAAAAATACGATAAAATTTAGTTTCCACATCAAACATCTACATATAATTTGAGGCTTCCGTTAATACGAACTAAAATTGCTTAAAAATAATTTACCGTATATTTTGGCACGCGTCCGAAGAATTGTCGCTCGTAGTGACACGAAGAGCACAGCCAGACGCAACGTTAGTGCCAAACGTGACTGAAGTTCGCTGAGCAGCGCTGCACAGCCAAGGCCGGTCGTGGTGTTGCGTTGCAGAGGGAAGCTCGAAAACAAAAAACCCCGCGGCGGTCAAGTTGCTCTCGTCCGTGAAGTTAGTTTTGCTCCATTGACTGGAAAATAATACTCATTGCATTGAGTTTTAAACTAGTTTTCATTAGGTAAATTTAACTAATGATTAAAGTTTTTCCAGTTCATTTTTCCAGCTAGTGAAATGGTTAAGGATCTTGAGAATGGGTTCAATCGAGTACGCCTATATTGCCTATGCAAGAAATAGTAATATAAGTATTTATAGAGAATTTATTGTTTGGCACGAAGTTAATTAGAACAATATTATTGAAAAAGCAAGCGACCAGAAATGAGTACCAGTTAAATATCAATAATGACAGTTCTCATGAACTTCAAATTGACACACTTACTTTACCTTTCGTATACTCCTTCGATTTTCGCCCCGAACGTGTATCCTCGACGAGAATAGACTTCAGCTGATCGTCCGTGCAGTTCGCCTTCATTGTTGAAATCTTTTTCTTCACTAGAGTTAGTGTTAGAGTTGGGGAGATGTTGCGTCGTGCTTTTCGGAGTGGTAAACTCGGGATATAAATTTAAATTTGAACTAGAATTATCGCTGGGATCATCGATAGAATTATCTGTAGTAAAAGTTTCTTCAGTGGAATTGACCGCTGAATAATCGTCATACGTCTCATTATTAGTGGCTGAAATCGTGAAATTTGTTTCAAATGAAAAGATATTAAGAGAATTGTTACTAAAATTGCTTGAATTGTCATATCCACTGTCATTAATATTAAGTTTCTTCTCATACCAAGAAATTGAAGAATCAATGCTAAAGTTCAAACTCGAGCTTGATCCCGACCCAGGAAGCTCATTGGAGCCCGAATCAGACCTCACCATTGTTTGCCTCCGAACTTTCGTGATATTTTCATTATTTTTGGACGAATTTATGGTCTCCAGATCTTCCAACAGATTTGTTGATACGTTCATAGTAGTCGTGATTAGATCAGAACTTGTATCATTTGTGTAATCAATTACGCTAGAATTTAAATCGTTGATATTATTAGAGAAATTACCTCCAGGTACATCACTTGAGTTGCCGCTCGCTCTTTCAATGTCATCCCAATGCTCATATATCACATGGAAATGCTGCATAATGCCAATTTCAATTTTTCCTCTTTTAACTCTTCCGCCGGAGACCACACTCTTCACTACGCTCGCAGGCAGTGAGACGGGAACGGTCGCCAGCTCCACGTTTATGTCAAGTCCAAGAACGTTTTGTCCCTCCCATATGAACAAATACTCAACCCCTGTAACGACATTGTGGCAAACTTCTTTCTGTTCGTCATACCGCGGCAAAAATGAAGAGTTGTTCACTGTACCTTTTGAATTCAAGGCATACCAGGCAAACAGTATTTGACTGGCAGCTGGACTTGGTTGTTTGTAAAAATTTAACTTGAGTTTATAAAAAATGTCATGATGCCTCGAAACTCTTATGGATGCAAGAAGTGTGCTTTTATCACTTAATGTGCTGACAAGAAGAGGGAGATGTTCAAATCGCAACTGATCTTCTTCATTTGTATTAGCCAGAGCATATTTCAATATGTTGAAAGATTCGTTCGATTCACAGTTTTTTGCAGTGATGCGTTCATAGCATTTTACTTTGGCTTCTTGCAAATATTTCAAAGGAAGGTCTGAACAATGCGATCCTATCCATGCTTGGCGAAGTTTGAATAGTTTATAAACTATTGAATCGTATTTTTCGAAAGCTATTTGTATATTGGCACCATTAGTGTATTCACTAGCGCGCTTGTTGTCTTTTGAATAAGTTTGATGTCCATCTTTGGGTAGATTGTTCAATGTGGCGAGTGATCGAAAATCTATTTGAGTTTGCAAGGTTTTCCTGAAGCTGAAGACGTTACCAAGAAATGGATTATTGTTCTTTAGCACACAAAAAGCAGTCGATGAGAAGCGGCTGCTGAATGTGTTCTCGGAATCGCAGTCCAGTGGAGTCGAGAGGCCAGACTTCAGAGCTTCTTTGGATTTGCATATGCCTGCGAGTTGTTCGGCTTTGCAATCCTATAATAACATGTATTTATCACAATATTTGTAATTAAAATGTCGGTAGAACCATTCATTGGTAATTTATGTCAGTTTTTGTCTCATATTCATGTTACGTATGAACAATTGTATGAAATAATAAGAAGGTAATAATATAGTCGGAGCATTGAAGATGTAGTCACAGTTTTTTTCGTTTGAAATGAAAAATGCTATTGTAAATTTGATATAGATTTGAACATGTCTTTTTATAATTATGAGAACATGAGCTGCGCTTTAGTTAAGTTATATTATCATGACTGACGAGGTCACAACAGCAAGAGGCGTCGCAGTGCAGGGCCTTGAGGTCACATGGGCAGGGGCTGAAGGGCCTCACCCTCCTGGCCTGCGGGAGGTTCTTCTCAAGCTCAGACCACTCCACGGACACTGTGTCGCCCGCCACGTCTGAAACCCGGTCACGTCTTACTGAGTAGGTCGCTACTACTTAGTGCAGTAATATTACTTATTAGAATTAATAAGAATTACTTAAATACTAAGTGAAGTAGTATAATTAGTGCATTAGTATTACTTATTGTTATTATTATTCGGATAATAATCTTACAACGGCTATTAATTTAATATTTCTACAAGTTTGGGGTGCAAGGGATTGATTTAGGGTGTTTTAAGAACTAACTTTCTAGAAGCTTAATCATTATATTTCATTAACTTAATAAATTTTCAGTAGATAAGAACTTCACAAAAACATTTCTCACCTGAACGAAAACTGAAGAAGAGGAGCAATACTGCGACCAGGCAAACAATTCCAGTCATTTGAAGGTAGTTCGCAGCATTTCTTCCTAGTTTTTATAAACAATTTATTACTTATTGTCCATCGCACTAAGGTTTGAACTGCACGTATATAACAATCATTTGATTGTGTATTATTGTTATTTTAAATTGTTCCCTGCAATACATTTCAAATAATATTACCGATATCTTTACTTCTTTACATTTCTATTTGAATCGGAAATTTGGTCAAATATTTTCAACTGATTTCCATCGATCCATTTCCACTGCGAATCCAAAAGCAATTGTTTAAATCAAATTTCTGGAAATACCGGTGAAATGTACAAACTTAAGGCTACACATAAAATCATAAAATCCATATTGTTTACTTGTTTATGCAAGATATTCGAGAAAACACGGGCGTTGGAGCGGAAAAAACCCTGAGCTGTTGACATGACTTATATGTATATAATACTGTAACCTACAGTATGTACCATACTGTAGCATATAGTATGTACCATGCCGTAACGTACGGCATGTATCACACCGCATCAAAAAGTAAGTATCATATCGCAACGTACATTATATAGCACCACGTAACATATAATAGATATCATAGCATAACATAAGGCTATTATTACTCCGTTGATATCACACCAAAATATACAGTATATTTCACAATTACACTATAGGTATACTGGGCCGTAAAAACATCCGGAGATGGAATTTTCCTTCATAAATTCCGTATCTGTGTGAACAATATTTTTGTTTAAATAATACCGAAAGCTGAAAGTCCGATTTCTTCCGAAATAAAAAAATAGAAATAAATATTTTTTCTAAAACCTTGTTGTCCTCGCACGCAATTACTAGAAATAAAGCCTTGACCACATTATTTTAACCGCTTACTCTGCGATAAGGAAACCAAATCGCAAGCGAGCTCCGCTTAACTGTTGTGTACAAGCGTCGTCTAGCGTTGCCATAGCAACCCAGTGTAACAAAAACAATGGATTTTTCATGCACACTGGAATAGAGCAAAATATCCCTATAGATAATAAGTTTTTCGGATAGCATATGAGGCGTCTGCAGGGATGATGAATTTATTTTGGAGTTTTTTTTTATAAATAACATAATTTTTATTTCAAAAACGCACTACCGTTTAGTGTAGTGTTTATACGGAAGCCCCTATTCAATTATACTGAACATAGGATGAATAAGGGGAGGTCTTTACCAACTGAGGTTAAATAAAGAAAATCGTATTATAAACAACTATTCGATTCTTCCGAACTCTTTTATTTCAAAAAAGGAAAAGAATTAGAGTACTCAATATACGTATGAACAAATTCTGAAGAATGGACATGTCATATATATATTCCACTAATAATTGCATTCAACTAGAAACTGAAATATTTTTAAATGATTTTTCAAACTCAATTTATGTACAAATTCTGAAGCTCAAACAAGTTAAATATTTATTCCACTAATAACTGCGTTACACTAGAAGCGGGAACATTTTTAAATGAATCTTTCAAACTATGAAATAACCTACAGCTGTAGTTGCCATGACTACCGCACATCAACATGACCTGCAGCGCTGACACCTGCACATCTGCAGCGCAGACACTCAAGCCTGCCAGTTTGGCTTCCTCCTCAGGTTGTCCATGCTGTAGGGTTTTTGTTTAGAATAGAATACAATAGAAGTGTCGGCATTGAAGAAATAGGCCCATGGCCTGTTGTCGATTCTTGAATTTTTCGTGATTTGATTCACAAGGGATCCGGCCTTTGGAACCCGATCTTTCCATAACTGACGATTGATTGAGATAGCTGCTGGACTTATTGCCTGGTCCGTTTAGACTTATATTGTTTAAAAGCTGTAATTATTAGTGATGGAGGATATCATCGAAATTTAATTTCCCCATCCTATGATTATTTAAAGATTTTCAAAAGTGACCGTTATAAATAAACGATTTTCATTAGTGGTCGTTTCACATAGTATTTATATTTCAAAAGTGGCCGATATACATAAATACTGCATAATATGTGAATATATGTATTTCCCATTCAACTTCCTAAAGTAAAGTTACATTTGTTGTTCAATAATAGTTTAAATTATTCAACAAATTATAAAGTCTACTATAAAAAATGGAAAGAAGTACTATTGTAAGAGCAAAATGCATTGTAATAGGTAAGTAAATCAACGTTTATTGTAATTTTATTTACATTTGTATATAAATAAATGAATGGGACAATTTTTTTAATCGTGAGCTATGGCGTGTATAATCGCACAGAATTTTCGGCATTTATTTTAAATGTACGTGTACATAATCGTTCTCGCAGACCATTCGGTACACAAAATTGAATGTTCATGAGCACTTATATATTTTATTATGAAATTCAGAAGATACAAATTTTTGGTCATAAAAAATAAAAAATGATTATTAAAGTGACTAAAATTTTGGTTCATTATTAGTTTTTATGTTGTATAAAATTCATGACCAAATATGGTGATAACACTCATTTTAAAAGGAATAATCCAGCTTATTATAGCACTTAGAAAACAAATATTCACCTTAAATGCTAATAAATAATCATTAGAGTGACTGATGCTCATTTTCTTATTGCCACGCAGGAGATTCGTGCGTTGGCAAGACTGCGCTGGTGCAAGCCTTCCTCGAGCCAGGGCAGTTCCCTAAAAATTATAACATGGTTGGTAAATTGCAGCATGGTTTACACCAGTGGTTCCCAAACTTTTTCAGGCTGGCGCCCCCTTTGGCTCCCTAGTGAATTTCTAGCGCCCCCCACAGACACATATAAAAACATACGCCTCTTTCTTGAAATTTAGTACGCTGCAATTTTAAAATATAAAGGTTAAACACAAATGTGTATATGACAAATAGAACCCCATTTAGTGAAACAATATTTTTTTCAGCTGTTTCAACTGTTTCAGCACTTGAACACTAGAAACCTAGGGCGTCTCGGGCAAATTTACGGCCGGACTCGTGGCCGGTCTCACGACCAATCTCCAAATTCAAATATTAAGTAATATCTCCCAAACTAATGAACGCAACTCTATGAAACTTAGAACACGTATTCATCAAAACCTAACGGTGATGTTTAGCACGTGAAAAATTTTTAAATTTCACCTTCATTCGTTAGTTATATTGCGATACAGGCCGAAATTCGCAGTGATCAAAGAATGTATTCCAAACTATACTGAACAGATTTGAACGAAATTTTGAACATACATTCCTAACTACCAAACGGTGATTTTTTAGCTTCTAAAACATTTTTTATTTTACCTTCGTTTGCGAGATTTTTTTTATTTCACCGTCATTCTTGATTTCACACTTCCTTATATTCGGCCCGTATCGCCGGGAAATTTGTCGCTTAAATTCGCTGCGATCAAAAAATTTCTACTAAACTGTTGAACAGATTTCAACGAAACTTTGTATATAAATACCTAACCTCCCAACGGTGATGTTTAGCTCGTGACAATTTTTCTATTTTGCTTTCGTTCGCGAGTTATACACGTAAGCCCCTTTCACACAGGGCAGTAGATACTGCGCGCGTCAAAAATGCCGCGGCAGTATTTACAGCGCAATCTTTCACACGAGGCGCTTTTTACTGCTGGGATCTATCAGTCTTGCAGTGCTTTATGCACCATCAATCCATCTCTTGCCCAGTGTGAAAGATTACATTGAATACCATTGCAAGCTAAACTGTCGCGACAAATCTACCGCCGCAGTTTTAGCGCGACACACGCTGGCGTCAGGCGTCAAGTTCTACGCCGCAGTAAAAGCAGTCGTGTGTGAACAGCAGTGCACATTTCGTATGTCCGCTAAGGTTCGGCAGTAAATACTGTCGGACGCTGGCAGTATTTACTGCCCTGTGTGAAAGGAGCCGTACAGATATAGGAGAAACGACCGGCTTTTCTACCGGCCGGTTCAACCAAGAGCCGTTTACGTATAGCTGTATACGTATAGCCGTATAACTCACAAACGAAGGCAAAATCGAAAAAAAAAATTTTAACGAGATAAACATCACCGCTACTGAGGTTAGGTACTAAGTTTCGTTCAAATCTGTTCAGTAGTTTGGAAGAAATTTTTTGATTACTGCAAATGTAAGCACTTATTGCTGTTTAAATCACGAATGAAGGTGAAATGAAAAAAATGCGAACGAAGGCACAATCGAAAAAATTTTCACGAGCTAAACATTACCGTTCGGTAGTTAGGACTGTAAATTCAAAATTTCGTTTGAATCTGTTCAGTAGTTTGGAAGAAATTCCTTGATGACTGTGAATTTCAGCCGTATTACCATATACCTTTGGCAAAAACAAATGATGGCAAAAGTCAAACAATTTTAAGGAGTTAGACATTACCGTTAGGTCCTAATGAACACGTGTATCAAGTTTCATCGAGTTAAGTTCATTTGTTTGAGAGATATTCCTTGATCATTGAATTTGGAAATTGGCCGTGAGACCGACCGCGAGTCTGGCCGTTAATTTGTCCGAGACGTAAACCCAGGAGAGATAAAAAAACAGATCTGGGTGAAAAAAACATCGCTGGGGGTAGTGTGCTGCACGTGCTGTGTACAAATCGGCAAACGTTCAAACTTCTGACATCGACTTCGGGCTACCGCCACCCTATCGCCCCCCTACGGTCCTTTTCTTCCGTACCGCCCCCCAAAATCTTTACACCGCCCCTAGGGGGGCGATATCGCCCACTTTGGGAACCACTGGTTTACACAGTCGTTAAATTATCATGAGTTTTACAGCGTGACCCGAGCGCTCCATCATATTACATGGTTGGTAAATTACAGCGTGGTTGTCAAAGCCAGTAAATTATAATGAGTTGTGGAGCAAAGGACGATCGCTGCAAGTATCATTAACAGTATCGATAAATAATTATTATGGTTTGCAAAAGCGCTCCGAAATCATGCAGTGTTATCTCTGCAATAGAAATTATTTAAATTAACTCGCCCCTTGTTTCTGTTCATCCGCTCATGTTACCATTAAAATATCATTTTATCTTATCCTTATCTACGCAATCTGCTTATTATAACTTGATGGAAAATTATTTCAGACTCCATCATAATTCGGGGAACGCTACTGTTTCATCCGAATACTCGCTACACTCGGCGCAAAGTTATTCTGGGTCATCATTATAGCCAGGCGATCGAAATCAGTTTCTGGTCAGAATCTCCTTTCCTCAGAGTATGAAAAGGGTTGGCCGAGCCAAGTCATACCGAGCTTTCAAATTGTTCAGAGGCTGCTCTTCAAAGCCTTGAGCTGAAGCGGACAAAGAGAAGCTGATTTAGATGCTCCCAGAGTCCTAGGCGACACATATTACTGAGTCGGGCCCGTATAAAAATTTTGTAAGCGGTGAGCGAATATCATCAAAATTCCTAACATTCAAAGCGTAAAGCCAAGCCAATAATGTCTTCTTGTTTGAATTCCCCAACTGTCCCATCTACAAACTAAACTAATGCTAAGAAGAGAAGGCATAAAATTGTCTCAACATTGCAGACTCAAGGCGTTGATGTGCAGACTAAGAAGATTAAAGTTCCGGACAGCTCCACCACCGTCGAGCTCTTTCTCTACGACTGTGCTGGCAAATCCTACTACAGAGACCTTGTTTTACGCTTGGTAAGAGTCTTAATATCACGAATTATAGTAATGCTATACATTTTATACTTTTAAAACGCAGCTAATATTATTAAACGTAATCAAGCTCGAGGTTATAATTTTCAGCATATACATGTTAATGTTTGCAACTAACTTAGGGCATAATAGTTATAAAAACATAACTCAGTCCTCACTGCAGTGAGTGACAGAGAGCGCATTTTCTCGTCGACGAAAATGTGAAGTCACGGACGGACAGACGGACGGACGGACAGGGCGAGCACAATAGTGCATTTTTTCCATAAACGAGAAAATGCGCTAAATAATACAACAATTTTGTGGTTCCGTCTATTTGAGTTAATAAATATCCCTAATCGTAACGATCCGTGAAACTTCTATTCCTAACTTGAAATTACGCTAATGCCACTAGACTCGACGTTTACACATTCGTTTCAAAATAACACGCAACGCTTCCAAGACGCTGCAAAACATTGTTTACTGAACACAAAAAATGTGACCTCTGCATAGATCAATGCAGGATATAAGACTTGTTAAATGAACGACGGCAGAGAGGCGGGTGATATTTAACGTCAATCTATCAGTAATTCATGTAGAGATAATAATACCAATTGATAATATAATACCAATTTTTTGGTTCAGTGCCATCAGACGTCGCTGGTGATCGTAGTGTACGATGTCTCTGAGGAGACGTCGTTTGCTAACGTGGTCAAAATCTTCGAGGAGGTAAGGCAAATTTCAAGTTTCAGTGACGTTTTCTCATAAGCAAACGACACACGATCGTATTGCCCCTCTAATTACTTAAAAATAACAAATATTAATTTAATATTTTGCTCATACAATGAATAATTTTCTCTAAATGGTAAACAAAATTGCAATATTAATAATATAGAACTAAATAATTATGAATTCTGGTTTTTGGATCAAAATAGTTTATGCAGCAGTCGACAGATTGTACTGCTGTACAAAAAGTTTTTACATTTAAATGGTTATGGTTTAAATTGTATTGTATAAAAAGTTTATACATTTAAATAGTCTAATTTTTCGTGGGAAGTTGTCCCAATTGAGTGTTTGGTTGGTAGGTGAAGCAAGCGAGCGGGTCTAGCGTGGTCAAGGGAGTTCTGTACGGCAACAAGAGCGACCTCTTCAACCGCCGCGTCATCTCTCCAAAAGCAGGACACGACCTGGCGCAGTCCCTGGGGCTGGTCTACTTCGAGGGCTCTGCAGTGAGTATCAGGGCACACAAGTGAGGACAATATTTAAATTTCAAGTAATAAATTACAAATTCTGTCATAGTTCACAGTTATATTGCGGAATTTATTTAACGCGGATTATGCAGCTATAATAGGGTCACAAAAATACTCATGAATAGGCTACGATGGGAAAATTTAAATGAAATCTCCCACACGAAATCTAAAAAAACATATATTCTATTTGTTTCAGGTATTCGTTGTTCGAATAGTTTTATAAGTAGAAAATAATTCCTAGCCACATTTGTTCTTAATGTCTGACGGCTACGCAAAACTTTTTACTAATCAAATATTTTTCTTACTAATCAATACTTTATTTTTTTCAATTTTAGAAAGAAAATAAGGACGTGGATGAACCATTTTACTTCATGGTGAACGAGTGGTTCAAGACGTACACGGACAAAACTCACAGCATGAGGACTGTTGGTTAGAGAATGTCTTCTGATCGGAAGCCGTTTTCAAATGCTCTGGAGCAGCAAGCTCAGGCAATGGGTGACCGAACCATGCTATTGTGTGTCGTATATTCAAAGATCAGACGACACATAATGATAATATTTATCATTGCTTTACTTGAATCCGTCAAACGAACGAGCGGTTGCTGCATGCAAGGAGTCTGTGATCAGATATGGGTGCACCTCAACTTAAATTGAAGTTCGAACTAATGAGTCCAGAGGACAGAAGCTCAAAGAAAGTATTTCATAGACGAAAACTATAATATATAATGTCGTCAAAAGTGCGGAGGTCTTAACCCCGTACAATTTCGCTCAACATGTTCCTGGCAATTGATCGCCACTGTTCACAGTTACTAATACCAGCTACCGTGTAGAAGTGCCTTTTGATACGTGGACCACGAAGAATAACATCAATAAAAACCTACTTGAATACAATCGTTTTCACAGAACGATTTATAATTTTACTATGTTCGGTAAATTATTTTTCAATATCAATATACTATTCATTCAAATTTAGCATCTCTTTCATTTCTTAACGAAAATTTCAACGAAATTTTTACCCGTTAAAATGCTGCATTCTCAATTTGAACCATGGTAGATCCAACTGGTTGGGTTGAAGAAAAGTTTGAAGTTACAGTTTCGTAGGAAGTTAGATTAGCGGCAATAGTACTTGTCTACGCAACATTTCTTGACATTTATGGTTCCTTCATGTATTTCGAACTTTTTTACTGCCTGTGAAGAGTTTTTTTGTTCTAAAGCAATAATTATTTATACATTTCTAAAGAAACAATTAGAAATATTTTCTGAATTCTTTCTTGGTTTCTGATTGTATAAAGTAAGGCGAGTGCATGGCCGGTCTTACACATACGCAGAGCTGGGCAGCGCTACTTGGAAATGTAGCGGCCGCTACCGCTACATGCTCTAAATGTAGCGGGCGCTACCGCTACCGCTACGCCCACTAGATTGTAGCGGGCGCTACCGCTACCGCTACAGTAAAATGTGGCGTCGCTACATTAGCCGTTACAATGGCCAAAATTATTGGAAATCTCTAAATATTTATTGTTCTGCTATTGGGATTTACTCATAAACATTTAATGCTAATAAATCATTTTCAAAATATATCAATGCAACTTTATTGCAACCAGCCCTTAACCTAACCGAACTAGTACGGGTTAGATACAGCAAAAAAAGTTACAGTTATTTTTATGTTTTACCTTCCCTATATACATCGATGTCTACTTTAATCTACCAATCTCAAAAATTATCCACATATACATACATATAAAAATCAGTCTTTTATTTGTATATATATGTGTGTTTCTAGTACATTCTGGAATGTTCTGGTGTGAAATATTAGTCAAAAGTTGTTTTGTACGAATACTTTTTTGACCCTAAGAAGTTAACATGTTGCATTAATTTTTGTGGCATTGAGATTTAATTTCTATTGATGCTATTTTTTTAATACAATGCGCCTCTATACATAATATAAATCACTTCTCCTGTTCAGTTTGTGTACTTACATACATTAAAATACGATTTTTTAAGCGTACGAATATTTATTTCCCCCCACTGTACATACATATAAAAAATCAGTCTTTTATTTGTATATATATGTGGATTATTTTTGAGATTGGTAGATTAAAGTAGACATCCATGTAGGGAAAGTGAAACATAAAAATAACTATGTAAAAATAACTGTAAGCAAACTGAAACATGTAAAAAATACCTGTAAGTGGTAACTGGTAACACTTAACAAGTAACAACTAACTTGTTGACACTAGTTAACAGGCTGAGGTTGACAACATTACACCGAAATCTTTCGTACAGTTTTATTCTGTAATCTATTTTATTAATGTACCATGCTGGTTTTTAAATAATATTTAATACTATTAAGTAAAATCTAAATGCTTTATCTGTAAATGTAGTGGTTGCGCTGCAGCGGCAAAATCTCGTATCGCCACTCAAATATGCAGTGGGCGCTACCGCTACCGCTACAATCGCTTAAATGTAGCGCCGCTACCGCTACTAAACATGCAGCGCGCTACTGCCCACCTCTGCCCATTCGTTTAATTCATTTGTATGCACTGTCATTACTTACTTTTGTGTCCGAGTATTGAATAAAGAATTCGCAATTTCCAAGAATTTATCGGGAACAAAATGTATAATAAGCTTGAAATGAGATTTGATAGTATGTCTGTTCTAGAAAATTCTTCTTCATATGGTAAATTCATTATAAAAAAATGGAGGGGTAACTATTTACAGAACGAGTTGAGAACTTCTCGCGGTATATTAATGATGGATAAAATTTCTTGCTCACCAAATTTTTTATGTACTGTCATGCAAGATTTTTTTCCCAATTGCAATTCATGACAATAAAGTTCAATTTCTGCGGTGTGGGTAGGAGAAATTGGAGGCAATACGAACAGATAAACTTTACACCGTGCATTCTAACTCGGCCGGTTCACTCTGTTTTGATTATTAGGCCACTCAATAACTTCTTTTAATCGCTTAGAAAACTTTTTTATTAGCGAGGAAATTTTTTCAATAACTTTCTTAATCGCTAATGATATCATTTATATCAATTATGCGGCATGTACATGCTTATTTTTCTTAGTGTTAGATGGCAGAATTTAATTGTTTATACACATGCGCTTGATGACCGGAGAATTCGTTGATTTATATTATCAGGGAGTGGAACAATTCTTCAGATGACTGTAGATTGAAAGGCAAGTTTCTGGAAGTAGTTTATGTTTATTAACGACGTTTCGAATGCAACAAACATTCATTTTCAAGTTAGAAGAAGCATTAAATATTGACATTTTGGTGGAAATATGTACATAATATGATACAAAATAGGATACAATAGTAAAATTTTGGACCAAAAATTACTCTGAAAATTCTTTCAGAGTTCAGACAAATCCGGTAGTCAGAAAATAGATAGCTGGGATCCAATCTGTAGAGATGAGGGGTTCAGCTATCGCCGGTCGGTTGCTGTCGGGCCACTGCGTAATCACGATGCTGGTGAGTACCTTCAGCACAATGCGAGTGACGGTCTGGTTGTAAGCTTGTCTCATGTGGTTCACTTGCCCTGCAGTTTGAAGGCAGCTAACGAGACAGCGGCTCTGTGTCCTACCACCAGAGACAAGCTCACAACCATACCAGGTCTCAAGGCATTTTCAACAGGCTACTTCATCTCAAAATCGTCGATGAATTCAACAGGCTTCGTGACACCCTTGACAACAATGTCAAATTCCAAACTAAACGCAACAAAGGCACCTGCAAAAACGCGAGAGTTATCCGAGAGGCCGGTGTAGTCTATGAAATTGGCGTCAAAGAAGGTTGTAGACTTCTTCATGTTTTGGACAACATCGGACAAATTGGACTAACAATCAAGACATCGAGCCGCTGTCTCGTTAGCCACCTTCAAACTGGAGTTCCCNAGTTCCCTAGCTGTTACCTTGCACCCCTGATCCTGTTACCTTGCACCCCTGACCCTGTTATCTTGCACCCCTGACCCTGTTACCTTGCACTCCTGATCCTGTTATCTTGCACCCCTGACCCTGTTACCTTGCACCTCTGACCCAGTGATCCTCCGCTCCTGACCAAATGAGGTTTCACGTATGTTCATATGATGTTGGTAGTGATACGGATGAAGATATTATTGGTGACAGCGATGGTGCTGGCATCAAGGGTGCACAGGCCACTGCATCGTTGGGAAGGAAAGCCGCCACACGAGCTAAGGAACGACGTCTTGTTGACGTTTTCTGTTGAAGTGGAAGGTTGAATTGAGCAACACCTGTTAACTTTACTTTGCCGTGCATAAATAATCAGTTACGCTACACGTGCAACCATCTACGTACTCATCGAAAGGTACACTGGAGTACTATAGCAGACCACAGTGCAGCAATTCAACCCTATGCGAAGAACCCCCATCTTATGGCTTTGCAGCCTCAAGAATTTATTCAATAGAATAAACTGTGCCAAATCAATATTTATCAAAGTCTGCGGTGACAGATGTCCAAAAATACTGATAACAAAAAAAATTTCATGGCTGACTAATGCAGAATAAGGCTAATGAAGCATCAAGCAAGTTGCAATGCTGTACATCAGTGGTTCCCAAAGTAGGCGATAGGAGGGGCGGTAGTCCGAAGTCAATGTCAGAAGTTCCAACGTTTGTTTGACGATTTGTATTCAACACGTGCAGCACATGACTAACAGCGATGGTTTTTTTCATCCAGATCTTTTTTTTTAAACCTCTCCTGGGTTTACGTCTCGGACAAATTAACGGCCGGACTCGCGGCCGGTCTCACGGCCAATTTCCAAATTCAAAAATCAAGGAATATCTCTCAAACTAATGAACTTAACTCGATGAAACATGGTTCGCGTATTCAATTATTACCTAACGATAATGTTTTGCTCGTGAAAATTGTTTGAATTTTACCATCGTTTGTTTTTCTCATAGTTATATGGCAATACGAGCCGAAATTGACAGTGATCAAGTAATTTCTTCCAAACTACTGAACAGATTCGACCGAAATTTGAAATTTGCAGTCCTAATTACCGAACGGTAATGTTTAGCTCGTGAAAATTTTTTCGATTGTGCCTTCGTTCGCGAGGTTTTTTTTGCATTTCACTTTCATTCGTGATTTAAACTGCAATACGTGCTTAAATTCGCAGTAATCAAGAAATTTTTTCCAAACTACTGAACAGATTCGAACGAAACTTAGTATTTAAATTTTTAAATATACAAAGTTTCGTTGAAATCTGTTCTGTAGTTTAGAAGAAATTCCTTGATCGCCGCGAATTTAAGTGACAAATTACCCGGCGATACGGGCCGAATATAAGGAAGTGTGAAATCAAGAATGACGGTGAAATGAAAAAAACTCGCAAACGAAGGTAAAATAAAAAAAAATTTATTAGCTCAAAAATCACCGTTTGGTAGTTAGGAATGTATATTCAAAATTTCGTTCAAATCTGTTCAATATTGTGGAAGAAATTCTTTGATCACTGCGAATTTCGGCCTGTTTCGCAATATACGCGTAACTCACGAATGAAGGTGAAATTGAAAAAAAAATTACGAGTTAAACATCACCGTTAGGTTCTGATAATTACGTGTTCAAAGTTTCATAGAGCTGCGTTCATTAGTTTGGGAGATATTACTTGATAATTGAATTTGGAGATTGGTCCTGAGACCGGCCATGAGTCCGGCCGTAAATTCGCCCCAGACGTCATAGGTTTCTAGTGCTGAAACAGTTAAAACAGCTGAAAAACATATTGGTTCACTAAATGGGGTTCTATTTGTAAAATACACATTTGTGTTTAACATTTATCTTTCAAAATTGCAGCGTACTAAATTTCAAGAAAGAGGCGTATGTCTGTGGGGGGGGGGGGCGCTAGAAATTCACTAGGGAGCCAAAGGGGGCGCCAGCCTGAAAAAGTTTGGGAACCACTGCTGTACATGAGTCATACTTCGTCAGCAACCTTGTTTGATTCCTAAGGCGTGTAGAAGAATGTTTGTCATAAAAAAGAATTCCAGAAATCGTCGTGGAAAATACGTCAAAAAGTAAATTGGGAGAATAATATTAAGGTTTATGCTGCCTTTGTTTGTCATTGTCCTGTCGTTTCTTTTCAAGTTCAGTACGTAATACAAGTTTCACACAGATACGCGGTGAGGAGTTTAAATTCTCTTGCGTCAAATCACTCTGCACTCCTGTCTGTTTTTCGTTGATATTATCTCACTCTCGCATATGCATGTGATCTAGGATTTTCTTTATATTTGCCTTTAATCGAGTTAGCTTTTGGTTAAAGTTCCAGTTTTGAAGTAATAAAATATAGAATTACGGTTACATATTTATTCCCTACAGAACTAATTTAAAGAAATAAACGATGAATCATTTACAATTTGACGAG